AGCAATTATTAGAATTTGTCTCACCCGCCAAATGCAAAACCCGGTACCTTTTTAACAGTGTGTTTGCGCTTTTCACGGAGAAATTAATACACCTGACATGTGAAAAGTGTATGGCACATTGCAAAGGATTTAGGCACGTGCGCCTTATTAATAAGGACAAGCATTTAAGTAAAAAAGTCTTTGTTGTTTCTTGTGTTCTTGTTTTCCCTTTTTGATAATTGAGAAGAATGTTGGAAAACTTAGGATTGTACCTGCAGAGATAAATCTGATAGTAATGCAGAAATGAATACTTAGTGTTTGCAAATTTTCTCCACATATTGCTGCCTTCGATTCCACTCCACTGATGGAGTTTGGAACATCAATATATAGTGATTCATTACTGTTACAACCAATTGAATTTAACAGTGCCTTGCTTTGAAGACTTTGAACCATCTCTTAGGCCACCTTGTTTTTCCTTAAATTTGCTGTAAGCATAGACTTTGGAGGGCTCTGGACATCTTAATTCCATTAATTTTAACATTGTATGTTTCATACAATGTATACCTATCTAAATTATTTGGCAAGAGCTAGGACTTTGTTTTTGCAAATACCCTGTAGAAAATCATGTTGGCCAGAACAAAGTATGGCTTTGTGTCATTTGTTTTCAGTAGCTTAATGGAGTGTCGCAGAAATTGCATTTGCTGGTGCTGATGACATCAGACTAGCAAACATTTAAATATTATTCCACACACATGAATTATTGTTCATTAAGTACCTGGCTTAAAATGTAGCACCATCAAGAAATTATAATTTATATAACTAGGAAGAGGTATATTTTAGAAAAATAAAATGATTTGTCCCCAGATGGAATTTATATTTGGGATTTCTTCATCCTTACATATAATCAGTCTGCAGTAGGTTCTTGCATTTTAAGCAGACACATAGAAATTTCAGTGAAAAGTACATAATAGTATGTATTATTAGCTTAAGTTCATAATACAGTCCCTCTGCTAGCTATCCTTCTGTATAGTAGGTTTGCCATCCACTTTTTGAGCTTCTACCTGCAATTTCAAAGAAAAATAGCAGAACAATTGTCAGATTTTTCATGGAAGCAATTGCTTTGATATCTGTATTTCCATTATTCTGAGTAAGAATAATGTTCTAGGATGGAAGATTATAATTCCTGTGTTTTGAAGAATTTATACTGATTTAAAATTTAAAGTAATTAGATTTTAGATTTATTTGTCTATATTTGTATCTGTTTGTTTAGATGTATTTGCCTGGGTTTATATAGTAACTGAGCTATTCAGCCAAACTGAGCTAGCTTTTGCATTTATTTTAATTGTGCAAATAATAGAAAGAATTTCACTGTGTAATTCTTCTGTTCACTTGGGTAGGTAATATTGTGCGATATAATTCCCACAGGAGTCTTTTTAGCCAGCATTAGAGGTTCATAAACTAGAAATAGTGCTGCAGCCTGTTGGCTCAGAAAACAAGTTTACCAAGATAGCTGTGTTTAACTTTTTTGCTTTTAGTGGTAAAAATGCATAAAAGTTTTAACTTTTGAAAGCTGTGTTTCAGAGCTGTCTTTTGAAATAGGTATTAACTTCATTAAAACTCCTCCAAGCCCCCAAACAGGTTTCTTTTTGGAAAAACATTTTAGCCCATTAGAAATTCAATGACTTGATATTAACACATGGTATTTTTTAACTGGTCATTTATTTCATTGTTAACTCACTGAATAATAGCTTCTTTTGCCAATGTTTCCTGTAGCTGGGAAATTAGTTTGACTGTTAACAGTTTGAACTGTAAATCCGTCTGTACTGGGAAGCTACTTATGTAATTTCCTTAGCTAAACAGTTAAAAGAGTTGTTTGAGGCATTAAATGCCTACCTAGCCTGTGATGATATTCTTGGGGAAAAGAGAAGATGTGTGCAGGAACTCTGCAGCTTCAGATGTGAACTTCGGTGTGAGAGTAGGGAAGCAGCCTATGTGAATTACCCAATTTTTCCTTCCTGCTCCAAGCTCCTCTATTTAGGCACTGAAAGGCTTTCCTAAATAGAAGAAAGGTTCTGTTCTCTGGTGTGTGTCATGTTTCTGAGACAAAAATGCAATAATTTGTTCTTCTATTTAATCATTTTATGAATTGTCTCTCAGTACAAGTGGATGTTAAACCAGAAATGCTATTTCCATTCGAAATCATTTAACGCAGCCCTGTTACCTTCAAAGTTATGTTATAGCTCTAATTTGCAAGTGTTTAATGTGTTTCAAGTGTTTGCTCCTCTTAAGTAGAATTGACTCTTGCCTTCAGACATACCTGCTGTGTCCGCACCCTTCCTGATCCAGCCTTAAGACTTAGGTTTGAAGCTCTTGGTTTTTCTTTCTGCAGTAGCTCTTCACGCTGCAGCTCTGTGTGTGCTCAGCCCGTGCATGCAGCTGCAGGGAGGGAAGGCCCAGCCGTGGCGTGCGTGGAACCCGCGGCGTGACTGCGGAGTCAGCCTTGGCTCTGAGGCCTGTAGGCGTAAGACCTTATGAGTCATATGTTCTGTGGAGTGTCAGCTTCAGATCATCAGCTGCTTTTTGCATGGTCATCATCTGTTTCTACAAAGTGTTTTTAGGCAACTGCTTACTTGTCCTATTGAGTTTTGCATTCAGCTGCTGGAGCGAGGGGCGCGTGCTCCCTGCCGCTGTTCGGAGCTCGCCGCGTCTGGTGGCGCCCCCGAAAATGTATTCGAGCTGGTTTTTGCCCTGGAGGAATCTAAGAATGAATGAAGGCCTTCAGACTTGCTCTTCCATCTCTCTGTATCTTGAGTTTGTCTTATTCATCCTGGTTTTGTATCAAATACTTAGATGTAAGACTGGCTTCTTATCTGTGCAGGTCGTGCCCGTAGTTACCGTTAGGCATCTTTTGTAATTGTTTATTTTGACTGCAAGATTGTTTTACTGTTGGTTTTAATTTTGTTGTGATATTAAAAATATATTATCCTTCCTTTCTGTGCTGGTTTTAGCCAGGATGGAGTTAATTTCTTTTTTTTCCTCTCAGTAGCTAGTATAGTGCATGTCAGTTGGGATGAGGGCTGGTTAGGATGCAATTTTATGTTAAGCATTGTGGCATTTACTTAGCTGCATAGAGAACTTGTATTTTAAAGTGATGCCATTTTAGCTCTGAGCTTTGTACACACGTCAGAGTAATCCAGTCCTATGTCCAGTCCAGCTTTCAAGGGTTTGTTCTGCAGTAAGTAGAATGTTCTTTTAAATTCTCCACGTGTAGCTAACATCCTGCAATAACAGATTCAGTTATTGCAAGCAACCCCCATGCTGCTTCATGCAAATATGTTCTTCTGTCTTTGCCCTTTCAGTTTAGACTTCAGAAAAAACTAAAGCAGATTTATTCCCCCCCCCCAAGCTGATAAGCAAAAAGTCCAGTCAGTCAAGGTTAGTACATCGGAAGCAATACACATGCTCCTCTTTTTTCCTTAGGTGGCTTGTCCTGGAAGCAGTTAGGTGTCTTTCTAAGGGGTGGTTTGTTGCAGGGCCACAGTGCTGCCTTCTGTTTAACTAACTTCCTGCTCACTGGGGTGTCCAGATCTTCTGCAGAGCCTCTTGAGTCAGTTGGCTACCAGCCTCTGGCACTGTAACTTGAACTTCATTCAGATGGAAGCAAGTCCATCAGTTCCCTGTCCTTGTGATACGTGATCACCAACTCCTAGGGGTTTGGTCATCCTAAGCCAGTTTCTTTTAATAAATGTCATAATGGTGGGTTTTGCTTGTGGAGATTCCTACAGAACTTTTTTTTCTGAAAGATTTGTTAGTGCCTAGGTTATATGTTCCAGAAAAGTTTCTCTCCAGCTAATAAGTCTAACTGTCATAATAAAATGTTTAGCATCAGTCACTGCCCTTCCTGTATAGGGTAAAGAACTGCGGCCTGAACTAGATTGCAGTAAATTAAATTTACACTTAATTTGGAAATTTCTGTAAGAAGAATAAAATAATGCTGCATTTCTAACTGCCCAGATGTGGTTTGTGTCATCATATTGCAAAAGAACAAATACAAATTATTATATTATTTTATAGTTGTAATTATGTTCTAAAATACTCTGGCTAGGTAGATAGCATAGATCCATTAAAACATTTTTCCCTCCTTCAGCTTGCTGTTGATTGTAGCATAGCAGGATCTGATATGCTGTCTTCTCTCCTTTGTGTTTGTGCTCCTTTTTTCCACTTGGGAATGAGGGGAGATGAGTGTCATGGAGACACACATATATAAAAATATAAGTATATATTTTTTTTTTTGCCAGGTGTGTTTAACGTAAGTAGACTTTTAACAAAAGCACCTGATGTTTTATTGGGTTATGGCTCAATCTTTAGTGCAGAAGCAATAGAATTGAAAGACACTTGAAGTCTTCGCTTGCCTAGGCCTCAGTTTTAGAAAATTGTGTTCATTTTAGAGAGTTTGACTGGAGAGTGAAGTTAAGAGTATAGTAACCTGGTAAGATGGTAATAGTAATCTGTTGGCTTTATACCAAACCAAGTGTGAAACTCATTTAAACCCACTGATTTACTCCTAAGGATGAAAATTCTTTATGTATGCAACTACATTTTGGCGTAATAACATGTTAACTTTATCACTTACTTTTCCAGTTGTCTAAACATACATTAAAATTCTGAGAATCTTTTAATTTTTAGGCAAATTGGAGCTTTGCAATAGTCCCAGTTTATGATGCAAATTTAAAAATATCTCTGAAACAAATTAAATGCATTTTTTGCGTTTATTTTTGCCTACATTGATATTAAGCTTTATAAACCTGTATTTTTGCAAAATACAAGGTAAATTATAAAGAAATGGTAACCAAACATTATTGTTTAATAGCAAAAAGGTATTTCCCATAAGAATATTCACTTGTAAATCTGATAAAAATAAATTACTTACCTGGATATGTTGTCTGTACTTGTTTTAGTATTTTGAGAAGTTCATTCACAATTATTATTTTACTGCTTTTAGTTGCTGATGCATGGTCAAAATGAGTGGATTAGGAGAAAACTCCTTGGACAGCTTGACCAGTGAGTCAAGGAAGCGCAAGCCATTACCCTGTGATACACCAGGTGCAAGGTAGGTTTATGTAGAACTTTCTCAGTTTTTAATGAACTTTTAAAAATATGTTTCAAGTTTTCATTGTAAATTCTAACTAAGGAATTTGTTCTGTGGAAAATTTCTCTAGGCCAGCTTCTGTCGTGAAGATACGTGTGTTTACTATTGCGTGTAGATATGCCAAAGACAGAAAACTATGCTTTAGAATTGGGCTCTTGTGGGAATTTTAATAGAGTGAACATACCATAGAAAGGCTTGGGTTGGAGTGGCCTTGAACATCTAGTTCCAGTCCCTCTGCCATGGGCAGGGACACCTTTCACTAGATAAGGAAGCACTGTACAAAGCCAGAAGAAAAACTTCGTGCTTCACAGAAATTTTAAAGGCATCATCTTGTATCTGGTAATTGATTTGACAGGCCTCGTTTCAGGGGATTGTGTTCAGCACAGAATACTGCAAGAGGCTGAGCTGGTTTTCGGTTTGGTTGTACTTCTTTTTATTCAGACTAGTTCTTTGCAAGTTTATCTCAAATTTTGGCGCTCTATGCTAGCTTTCTGCCCCTCACCCAACTCTCTCAGATCTAGTTATCTGAGGGACCCAGTTTTCTGTTTCCCTCCAACATCATTGCTCTCCACCACATTATGTTTTCTGTTATCCTTTCATGTTCTTCTTCCCACAAAGTATTGATGTTTATTAAATTTGTTTTCAGTTTCACCAGACTACCGAGTGTTGTGTATACTCATATCTGTCCCTTTTATTTACATCCCTTCTGTTCCATGCCAGTTACCTTCATCATGCAACAGATTGTGTATGAGATTCTCAGGTTCTTCCATCATATTCCAGTACCTCTTTGTGAGTGCCCTCAATTCCAATTTCTCTTTACCTTTCTCCAGTGTCTGTCAGTTCAGGAACTCTGTTTTTCAGATTGTCACCCTTCATTAGCTTTTTTTATCTGTCAGGCTTTTTCTTTGTCATGTATTTGTTTTCTCCAGGATTGGTCTGTACATACTTTCCTCACCCTTCCACTTGGTTCCTTCTCGAAGATTTTGCTTTTGATTACCTTGGTGTGTCCATTCTTGCCCCTTCCCTGAGTCCTCCTTTTCCTACTCTTGGCATACCGTGCATATGACATTTCTCCTTGTTGATTTAAGCTGTAGACAGTGTCTTTACTCACTATGTAGTAAACCTATGTAGGAAAAGTAATTTCAGGGAGTCTTTATCAAGCAGTATTAGGTTGTCTGGGATTCTGCTTCTCTTGGATGTTGAGATTGCATTTTTGTCCTGATGCCTAGATATTTCTGAAGTATCACCTTCTGTCCTCATCTCTACAAGCAAACAGGAGAGATTTAATAGAATGTTAAAATTCTATTTAACTTGCCTGAGAAATTTTTTAACAAATTTGAGTGCTACAATTAGATAACACGTACTTGCTCCTTTCATTAAATTCAGCAGTAATCACAGGAGGATATTTTTCTTTATGAATAGCTTTCTCATATCCTTTTAAGATAAATTTGTACTTAAAATTCCTTGAAATAAAGCGAACCAAACACAAAACCCAAACCACAATTTAGCAAACCACACAGATGTATGCCCTTCAGATTCGTGTTTGCTTGAAGAAAACTGCTGACTAGATTTAATGGGTGGATGCTACATGAAGTAGAGTTTACAGAATGAACAGGTTTTGCATAGGATGGTAAGTGAGTATATGTAACAATGTTTTTGATCCCTAGTCTGACCTGCAGTGGTGAGAAGCGTCGGCGTGAGCAGGAAAGCAAATACATTGAAGAACTGGCTGAGCTGATATCTGCTAATCTGAGTGACATTGACAATTTCAATGTCAAACCAGACAAATGTGCTATTTTAAAAGAAACTGTGAGACAGATTCGACAGATAAAAGAGCAAGGTACAGTTCCCTGCTATTTTAAAATAAATAATTTGTTGTGATTTCTTTTCAAAGCAGTAGTTACTCAGGAAATCGAATAGTGGTTCTCACAGTAGCATGTAACTGAGCAAGTCTTTGGGCTTCGACTTGAACCAGACCTTAAATATGCTTTAAATAATGTTCTATTTAAAGTAAGCAAGTATTTACCATCACTTTTTATTGCAAATCAGGGTATGAAAATTTTGTAGGGCCTTTCTTACCAATTTCCTGAAAATACTGGGAAAGCTTAAGCTAGTCCGCAGGCGAGCTAAGAAAAGCAGGCGGTACTGCCCCAGCTGCTCTTAACATTCTACCAAATACCCTCCAGTGTGAAGAATACCTGCTGCTGCCTTTTTCTTCAAGGGAGTTTATGGTTTTCTTATGGGGCATGCCTCCAATCAGAGATAATGATTGCATTGCTATTTTTTCCCCATTATGTTTTCTTGTGCTGTTTACGAGACATTTTGTAAATTATAAGTACTGGACTCTGCGATATTTAAAATCCATCTAGCTTGAGATCCAATAATTGAACAGTGTGGTTGACTATACTCAGGATATAGTTAAGTCAACAAAGGAGAAAGCAGTAATGCATCGTATCTTGGTGATTTCTGTCAGCTAGGGTAAACCAAAGTGATATAATTTATTTTTTTTAAGGGACAGGTGTCTGCAAAACCTGTGTTTTTGAAATGCAGAGTGAGGGGTATGCATAATTTTTTTTTTTCAAACACCGCCCCGTCGCCGTCTCTGCCCACAATGACTGCAGCCTCCCAAGTGTACGTATGCCATTTGGGCAGTAAAGTACTTAACAAAATCGAGTACGCTCTATGCTGTGTATTTTACCTGTCATGGTAAATTGCCACATCTTTTGAAGGCATGTTAAAACAATTTTCAAAATTCATCTTCTGTTTTTAAGGGTTTTGATAGTGTCATCTGGTATATTCTAATGTTCCATTTTAGAGTTGAGAACATGATAATCTGCCCACAGGATGTTGTACTCCTCTTGTTGTCTGCTTAGCCAGCCAGCAAGTACCACAAAACACAGTCTACTTTTTTATTCCTGTAATTCTGCTGCTGGCATGGATTCCCCGTCCCCCTTCCCCTGCAGTCAGTTAATTTAGGATATTTTGATTGGGTTTCAGGAAAAGCAGTTTCTAATGATGATGATGTTCAGAAAGCTGATGTATCTTCTACGGGTCAAGGAGTTATTGACAAGGATTCATTGGGACCTCTTTTATTACAGGCAAGTACAAAGTAGGCTCTAGTAAATCCCTATAGAACCAAATACTTAAGGCAAGTGAAACTATTACAGTAAAGTCTGCAATCCTCTGGTAATAAATAGTATGCAAGAACTATACAGAACTATGTTTGAAAAGGTCAGGAATAAAGACTTTTGTGTTTTCTTAATTTTGCTGAAATTCTCTGTAGATGGACATGGAAGAATAGCCTTTGGCTTTTTCTCATAATCTTGTGCTTTACTTTCTCCAGCGGTCATTAGCAAATTATTACTAAAGCAGTGCTGAGTAATACAAGGAGTTGTCTACCTTTTTAGGGCTGTAGACATTAAATGCACGAGGTTGTGCAAAGAGAGGCTCATGATGTGTATTTGTTTGTGTTACTAAATCATTAAGCATTTTAAATTAATGTTGCCATCAAGTGAAACAACCTAAGAGTAACTGTGAACAAAGGTACATAGCAGTTACCCTTTCTTTATGCCTAGAAAACCAATCCCATATTTACAAGTTCATTAAAAAGCACTTTTGAAACTTAATTGTTTAACATAGATGCTGAACTTTTCTTTCAATTAAGAAAATACAGTATCTTAAGATATGGATAGACTCTCATCAGTTACTGGTGGAAATGTCTTCATGACTTACTGCTTGTTTCTGCTGAATTTCTTCCCGTTCCAATTTGCCAGCTATTGAAGTAGTGTTACAGATTCATGATCCAGTGTCCATATAGAGCAAGAATGAAAGCAGAAGGCTGGTTGTCACTGTGAAAGAGCTGAATGGAATAAAAAATGGACAGGGTACTTCTTAGTATTGAAATCATTCCTTACCAGACATACTTTTTCTCAGAGAAGAATTTAAAACTTCAGCTCTATCCTTGAAAATAAATGAATGTATTGCAACTTGACATTTATCACCCACATGGTTTTTAAAACTTAATTATGCCCAGAATTAGGCCGTGTGTCTTGTATGATATGTTGTCATTTTAATATTTAGGCATTGGATGGCTTCCTGTTTGTTGTAAATCGAGATGGGAACATAGTATTTGTGTCAGAAAATGTCACACAGTATCTGCAGTATAAACAAGAAGATTTGGTTAATACAAGTGTCTATGGGATCTTGCATGAAGAGGACCGGAAGGACTTTCTCAAAAACTTACCTAAATCTTCAGGTAGTAGAAGCTGATTTACTACACTGTTACTAGACTATTTGAAGACAATGAGCGAAGAAAAATTGGTCTTGTAATGGGTGACCTTTCAGAACAAATTACTTTTATACAAAGAATATTAGATTGCAAAAATATGTTAATCTTGATAAATATGACTGTTTTTACAGAAGCACACCACAAGAAATAAATGTGCTGGAAATTCACACTGTACTTTAGCCTTTGCAATTTGTTTACCTGTAACGTAAAACAGGGTTACCGAAGGAACACGTTCCTAATGCCACAAGGTTAGCTGAAGGAATGGTGTGTTTTTAAAATGCAAGACTGACTTTTCAGTTCTCCTTCAAGTGACTCCAAGTGTTCTATAAGAGAAAATTTTTTTTCACTTGGTTCTCAATACTGCTATTTTATACCAAGGTATATTGATGATATATTGAGAAGGCATCTTAAAATAGTCTTTCATCTCTGTAATCTAGAAACAGGGTATCTAACTTAGGAAGAATCAGTTATGAATTGATTTTTTTCTGAAAATTTATATAAATTCTTACTGTGTTCTTTTAAGTTAATGGAGTTGCTTGGACCAGTGAAATGCCTAGACAAAAGAGTCATACATTCAGTTGCCGGATAATGGTGAAAAGCTCTCATGATCTTTTGGAAGATGCAGGCAGCCACCAGGATATGCGTCAAAGATATGAAACCATGCAGTGCTTTGCTTTGTCTCAGCCGAGAGCCATGATGGAAGAGGGAGAAGGTATGAAATTTTGTGGAATTACTGTACATAGAAGAAATTGCTCTGTAAATCTTCTTGGTGTCTGGTATGTGTTATGAAATCTGTAGCTACTGCAATCCATTTTTAAGAATGCAACGACTTTTAATTCCTACTATATGTACTTCCATTTTAACAACAAAAGCTTCAGCTGTTTTATTAAATGCCTCAATAGAGTAAAACAGGAGAGAAATGAAAGAAGAAAAATTATTTTTTAAATACAGATTTGCAGTCCTGCATGATTTGTGTGGCGCGTCGTATCACAACTGCAGAAAGGGTGTTTTCGACAAATCCAGAGAGCTTTATTACACGACATGATCTTTCAGGTAAGACATGTACCCAGGATGAAGGTATGAAGGTGTCTTCTTTGTCTATGTGCTCTTGTTTTAAATAAATAGAATATGTAAATAAAGTGTGTATATATAGTGACTAGCAGAATTGATATTGAGAGTTCCCAACTGTTTTTTTGCAATATACCATTGTTGGCAGTGGGGTGTAATAAAAACTGTGGGATGCATTTTCCTTCTCTGTGCTATTGTTTGGTAGCTTGGTATAAAGCATTACCTGTGTTTAACTTGGCAGCATGTCAAATGGTTGGCATTTTGCTTTCTTTTACATGTAAGAAGTATTTTAAAACATAACTGAAGCGAATGAAAGTTCTTTAGAATGTTTGTATTTTTATACAGTGCATGAACTAATGTTTAAAGTGATTTATGCTGTCTAAATTGAAATAGTTACATAATCTACACAGGGCTTTTTCAGATGCCAATTTGTGTTTATGATGTTCATTTCTGGGTGCCGTTGGTCAGTATTTTTGAAAATTTTACCGTGTGTGCATCTCTCGGGTGCCTGTAACCAGAGACTAAAGTTACTGTTTTCAAAAGCTCTGGCATTGACCTGTGGGTACTTAACTTCCTCTTACTCAGTTATATAAATCCCTTTGAATACTGGTGTTTTAACAAGCAGCATCATATTCTCCTATGGCGGATTATTCTTAAATGTAACTTCTGCATGCTCAGACTTGGGTGATGAAAAGGGGGATACTGAAGCCTTATGAAACATACCAAAGGATTGGCACAATCATAGTTTAACTTGTGTAATTTTTTTCCTGTTAAGGCAAACTTGTCAACATCGATACAAACTCATTACGATCTTCCATGAGACCTGGCTTTGAAGATATAATTCGTCGGTGTATCCAGAGGTTCTTATGCCATAATGATGGACAGTCATGGTCAAACAAACGCCACTATCATGAAGGTACAAATCAGTTTGCAATGTTTGGTTGTACTGCTTCTCCTGCATTTTTTCTGAAAAACAATAATGCTACATTCTGCTTTTTTTAAAATTATTTTTTTTTAGTGTTAATTACTGTGACTCATTTACAAGCTGAAGGATGGTAAGCTCTTGAGAACTAGAACTTCTGATGGAAGTGTTTGAAGTTTTCTGTGTGTTTGGTTTGAAAATTTTCATGGAAATTGAGATACATGATCTGGGGGCCTTAAGTAACCCGTTTTTCTGCAGATGGATATAGCAATGTCAGTAACAGCTATATTTCTGTGATAATATGCCATCGCTAATTATCATTAGCTTGTTAGTTTTGCTTAATGTTAATTTGACTTCTTTTAAAATTCACGCTCTATTTGTTAAAGAATCGCTCTCTAAAAGTGAAAAGTTTTTCTTATTCAAGGCACAAGGGTTAAAAATATTTTCAGTGTTCCAGTGTTTCGTATTTTGTAATGCTAAGTTGATAACCTTGATGAGTGAGTGAGTATAGCCACTGTTTTCAGTTAGAAAGAGGACATTTTCTAAGCATTCCAAACATTAGTCTGTTCGAAGGATTCACAAAGCAATTCAGTAGAGGGGATGTTAAATAAAGAGAAACTCATCCTGGCAGAAAATGACATTTCCATTCCCTTGGAAGTTTTTCAACATAACGAATCAAATAAATCCTAAATTAACAATTTAGAGCTCAGACTAAAAGCAGTGGTTTCCACAGTTTTTTGATTGAAATAAAACTTCAATTTAAAAATGTTTCCCCAAGCAGGAGCCCTGGCGACCTATAGCTTACCCTTGGAAGTATGTTAAGAAATGTGAAACTTGGCCAGTTGTGTCTGGTGAGCACAAAATGCTGCAACACCAAGATAATCTTGTTTGCTTTTATCTTCCCTCTACTAATTTAGGAGAAATTGTGGAATACGTCCTTCTCAATATCTGTCTTGGGTTTGTCTATTTAATTTTTTGTAAAGTTTGATGGGTTTTGCACTTTTTAAATCTTTAGCAAATGAAGAGTATCGTGTTAAAAATGCGTTAGAATGCATCTTAATAATCCTTGGGGTTTTAAATATGAACTATATTTGTATATTCCCTTTGCAGCTTATACACAAGGTCATGCTGAAACCCCATTGTATCGGTTTTCTTTAGCGGATGGTACCATAGTGACAGCACAAACAAAGAGTAAACTGTTTCGAAACCCTGTAACTAATGACCACCATGGATTTGTCTCTACCCACTTCCTTCAAAGGTGAAATCAGTAGTATCTGTTTGTCATTTACGTGTCATAGTTTTAAAAAATATATCTGACCTTGAAGATACCTGAAAAAAAAATAGGATGCTAAAATATTTTACCTCATGAAATCTCAAAACAGAGGGGAGATAACTTGGGAAGCAAAGCTGTATAGCATACAAATAATGCGTGAGCCTAACACACTCCCAACTTACCTGTGTGGCAGAAAGACCGTCGCAGGCGAGAGAGAGGGTGTTTTCTCAGTACCTGCACGGAGCCTGCATTACGTGTTCATTATTCTCTTATGTTAACACTGATACTGATGGAACACTGAAAATAGAAATGCTCTGTCACATGCTTTATCTTACTCTTTTTATTTGCAGATGAACTGAAAAGACAGCAAAACCCCCTCAGATGCACTATTAATGACTAATGAGTGTACCTAAAACAGCACTTCCTATGACCTGTTCTTGTTGATTGCAAGAATAATCGGAATGTCAGTCTGGAGGGAATCTGTCTGGCATTAGGGTGCCTCAAGATACTGAGAAATGAGAAACTGAGATTGTTCAGGACATTACTAGTGTGTATATTAGAAGAGTGTCAGGCATAGACTCAAGAAGGGAGTAAAATAAAATTTGATAAATATGATTAATGAGTATTGATGAAAGGCTTTTGAAGCAGTGATACTGCATGTACTTGTAACTCAAATCAGCTACAGAGCCAAGCATTTCCGTAGTGAATAAATGAGTGGCACAGCTTAGTTCTGTTGTTGCGGAATTCTCACTGCTCCTTTTGAAAAAAAAAATTTGGAAAATTATTTAATAATGGTTTTGTGTACCACTTGATTTCTGAAAAGGTTTTAATTTGTTTTCTTGGGATTTTTGGGGATGCTGTTGAATTTACAGAGAACAAAATGGATATCGGCCAAATCCTAATTCCGTTGGGCAAAACATCAGAACACCTGTGGCTGGAAACACGAATTCTGTTGGTGGACTTATGAACATGTCACCTGGTCAAGGCATACCAATGCAGAACAGGAGCTATGGCATGGGAGATCCCAGTGCAGTGGGTCAGCTCAGTGGCACTCGATATGGAGGCCCTGGCAATATGGGGCCAGTGAACTCTGGACCTGGAATGCAGTCCTCTGCTTACCAGAACAACAGTTATGGGTTAAATATAAGTAGCCCACCACATGGTAGTCCTGGTTTAACTTCCAACCAGCAGAATCTAATGATATCTCCCAGGAGTCGAGGGAGTCCAAAAATGAATTCACACCAGTTTTCTCCGGTTGCAGGTACTTTATTTTTGCAATAAGCTCTTTTTTTTCTTTTAAGCTATCTTTTCTCACTTTCATCTGAATCTTTCATCCTTTTTAACAGTTCTGTATGACCCTATGTGTGTTATTTAAAAGTAGTATACCTGATGTCATGGTAAAAATGTATTTTAAAATTATTAACTCAATGAATGTCACAGTCATACAAAATCCAAAGGAAAAGTAGATACAGGTAGTACTGTGAATCTAATAAGTGATCTCTGTCATGTGATACAGGTATGCACTCACCAATGGGATCTGCCAGCAACACTAGCAACAGCACTTTCTCTAGCAGTTCTCTTAGTGCTTTGCAAGCCATTAGTGAGGGTGTTGGAAATTCCCTTTTATCAACACTTTCTTCACCGGGTCCAAAATTGGATAATTCCCCAAACATGAGCATAACTCAGCAAAGTAAAACAAGTACCCAGGACTCCAAAAGCCCTTCTGGTTTGTATTGTGAACAAAACCAAGTGGAAAGTTCCATCTGCCAATCAAACATTAGTGACAAAGATAGTAAAGAGGGAAATCTGGAGGCATCTGAAAGTCAGAGAGGACCATCTGAGAGCAAAGGACATAAAAAGCTCCTTCAGCTCCTCACATGCTCCTCAGATGAAAGAGGACATTCTGCAGCATCGAGCTCACCTCTAGACTCAAATTGTAAAGAATCTTCGACGAGCATTACCAGTCCCTCAGGAGTTTCCTCATCAACATCTGGAGGGGTATCTTCCTCCTCAAACATGCATGGGTCACTCCTGCAAGAGAAGCACAGGATCTTACATAAATTGTTGCAGAATGGTAATTCTCCTGCAGAGGTAGCCAAGATCACAGCTGAAGCTACTGGTAAAGACATGTATCATGATGCTAGTAACACAACCTCCTGTGGAGAAGGCGTCGTCAAACAGGAACAACTGAGCCCAAAGAAGAAGGAAAACAATGCTTTACTAAGATACCTGTTGGATAAGGATGATGTTAAGGACCCTCTTTCCAAAGAGTTGAAGCCTAAAGCAGAAAGTGTGGATAATAAGATGGGACAATGCACTAGTTCTACAATCCCTACTTCTAGTCAAGAAAAAGAGATGAAAATAAAAATGGAGCCAGGAGAGGAGGTACAGTACAATGGAAAATGATGGCAGCGAGCTAACCAATGTTTTATTCTTACAGTGAATGTCTCAGTATAGAACACTTTATAGTATGCATGTGTAAACATTTCTGAAAGAGTTCTGTGCAAGTGATGTGAAACAATACACTCAGGTTTCTTCGTAAATGAAAAAGCAGAAACAAAGAGAAGTACATGATATGTATATAATCAAATGTGATGTACTGAAGTCCTGGACTAATGTTATGTGTAAGTTAGGGTATGATTAAGGGAATACTTAAAATTACCCTCATTTCAGATCTTTAACATTTGCTATTTCACAGATCACATGTTTGTTTTTATGGCTTATTAGGAAGCGGAACTGTAACTGCCTCATAATTAGTTGGCAATGCATTAGCAAAAGGTAAAACATGATTTCATTTTGAAAATATAAACTGTACACAAGAATGAGTAATACTGAGAGTAGCCATGATGTGGTTTAGTTTGTTCACTGGTTTTAGTGCTCTTTCTTCCTTAAATGAGAGAATATGTTGTTCCAAATACATACATATATATATAGGTATGTATATATATATGTATACACACACACATATTCAACATTCAGATAAATATATGCTTATTTATTTGTTTCAGTGTTTCTAGAGCTGGAATTTCTGGAAATGTCATGATACAGAAAGCTATAGCACCGTGGAACAGCCAGCAGTACACTTGTTAGGGACAGCTGTTCTTGAAATTATAATCTGTATCTCGTATTTTTGTATTTAGGTACTAAGTCAGATTTGGAACTAATTCAAAGTAAATAGTACTGCTCAGTATGGCAGAAGTCACTGAAAATATGTTAATATCTTGGAACTTGGATTTTCCAAGTCACCAGTAGCTATGTATATATATTTAAAAAAATACAAGCAGAGGGTTTTTTTATATTAGTTAATGCCTGACTATAAACAAAACACATCATTTTTTTGACTACCATTCATGGAAAAGTCACTAACAAGTGTGTAATAGTACCCAATGTGTAGTTTCAGTACTTGCTCCTGATACCTAATTAAGATAATCAGAGAAGCATTTTTTGGGAAGATAAGAATCCATGCAGTGTTCACAGCCAGGTTGGCTAAGGCCTTGAGCAACCTGCTCTGGTGGGAGGTGTCCCTGCCCAGGGCAGGGCATTGGGACTAGATAATTTGGAAGGTCCATTCCAGCCCCAAAATTCTATGATTCTATATATTAATTCTCTTTCTATTAAAACTGCATCTGATTCAAAGATAATTTTTAAAAGAAGGTTAGAGCTCCAACTGACCAGAAAAATCTGTGGGTAATTTTCATGTGTTGTTGTGTTTATCAGTGATCAAGTTAGGCTTTTTTGTGTGTGACAGATACATTGTGTGTCACTGAATGGTACACATTCTTGACGTTTGTGTTTTTCTCTTTGTAATTTGTGGTAGCTGAAATGTTTATATTCATAGGTGGTTTATATTTAAGTTATGTGTATCTCCAATCTCTCCTAATTGTCAAAAAGCCAAGCAAAATACTCTTAAAAAATTATGTAGCTATATGATATCTGAAGTTCTTTGGAAGTGTCAGTGTACTAAAATGTTTTTCTCCCAGTTATGTATTTTAACATTAGCGAGGAGCTAAATAAAAAGTGAAGGTTAGCTGTACAAGAGTAAATAATCTTGGCATCTTACTGTGTCTTTTTCAGATTAATGGAGACTTGGATAATTTGGATGCAATTCTAGGTGATCTGACTAGTTCAGAGTTTTACAATAATGCTATGTCTGCAAATGGAAATAACCTTGGCACAAAGCAATCATTATTTCCAGGAAATACCTTGTTGGGTAAGGAATTTAACCTAATATTACTTTGGTTTTAAAGTAAGGGGTTTCTTCTTACCTGATGGAAACATAGTGCATCCTCAGATTATTAGAGAGCACTTTCTTCATCTCCTATATCATCAAGGATGGATGTAATGCAAAATGGCCAATTATGCTTTCCTAGGCTACTATGTACACTGTTAGCTGTCTTGATGGCACTCACCTACTATATACACAGGGAATAACATTCAGTTCCTTGTTTTGTGGTTTATTCTGGGTTTGTCTAATACAGACTTCTCAGACAAGTCATCAGGAAAAAATATTTATGACTTGTAAATTAATAGTGATAATTTTTATCCCTTACAGATGACCAGGGATATAAATGGCATTGATGACAAGCTTTTGATTTCCCTCTTACTCTATGTGAAAACATCTTGTAGCCTGTAAATTCTAATCATTACTCCTCCTTGATATCGAAAGGAATGCCCTTCCTTAGTGGGAAGCTGAGTAGGAGGGGAAGATAACCTTGCTAATAGACCAGCATCATTGCACTTGTTTCCTGTTTTTATGATGCTGGTCATCTCTTGAGTATATAGGGCTGAAGTAACCAAAGGAGGTGAAACATGGGTAATGAAAAATATAAAAACAGGTACGAGAAGATGTCAGGCCACTGACACTATTGGCTGTGGAGCACAGTGATTTGTGGGTTAATTGTTCATGTAGTTCACTGTGCTCAGGAACACACTGTGTCTGGATTCAACCTGTTCCAAACAGAATCATTTGTTTCTATCTCCGTGTTAGAGTTATCAAAAGTCTGGGCAGTCCCCTTGTATATCACGGAGTCTGTACTGCTAGTGTGTTTTCAAAATGTTAAAAACATAATTCATTGGAGAACTTAAATTAAAATGAACTTTTTTTTTTGTTTAGGGCCAACAGGAACTGCATTTGACTTTTCCTGTAAAAGGTCCTAACTAGGTATTCAAAATGTGGGTTTTGTAGTGAGAACATAATAAAAATAACTATTCCTGGCTTGCTTAAGATGAAATATATGTGCCCATAAATCGATCAGACTAATTTACATAAATCATTAATGGCACTTTCTATTTCAAATGTGCAATTACATGCATCTTTTAATTAACAGGAATGAAGGGTCCCCAGCCTATGCAAACTCCTCATCCACCTTTCAACAGAGCCGTGTCTTTAGACAGCCCTGTGGGCTCAGGTGCTCCAGTGAGAAATGTCAATGCGTTCTCCATGTTGCAAAAGCAAAACGTGATGGGTGGAAGTCCAAGAATGATGGAAAACCAAGAAAGTTTTGGAGCAAATCTGGGTTTGTTGATTGTGTACAAATAGATCTCATTGTAAAGGGAAAAGCTTTCATGTAAAAAAGTTTGGAGGATTATAATAAGAATTTTGGTTAGAAGAAACCTTAACATTAAAGAATATTATTTTAGCATCACTATATTAATGCTTTTTGATTATTAACCTAGCTAAAATTATAAGAACGTAACTGTTTGCTATCTGTGTATCATTGCCAGTACTTTACTTTTGTTCAGTAGTTAATTAATTTTTTGCTATTTTAAGTTTTGAATTCAGCCTTTGTTTTTAATGTATAGAATCACAAACAGGTCACAATGGCAGTCAGTCATTATGACTTTTAAATATATTTAGACTCATATGGCTGGTTGATGATTTAGAGCTTGTCATGGCAGGCTTTAGATACTTCTGTAGGAGTTAATTGCTCTGTCATTGTCAGGTGCACGTGTTGGTGAAATAATAAAATAATTCTAAAACCAGAATATGTATTGTGCTCTGGATGACAAATTACTGTATTTTCTGCTGTTCGTTATAGCAAGCGCTCCCAACAGAAACGTGGCGATGAACCAGCATCAGTCAGGAGACTGGGGTTTGCCAAACTCCAAGGTGAACAGATTGGAGCCTACAAGTTCCGCTCCGCTGCTGAGAGCGGGACCCGAGTTGAGCGCGGCCCTGCCCAGAGCCGCGGCGAGCGGCTCGG